CTAGCGTGACATACATGAAAGCTTTCCCAAGGGATAGCTTCCCTGCTCTGGTACAGGGGCACAGCCATGATACAGATTATGGTGTGTGTAAGTAAGGTGTCCTGTACTCTTGCTGACATCCTGTCAATTTGCTTAAGGTTGTTCTGGGCTACTAACTTGCCATTTCTTTAGCAGAAATGTTTGAGTTATGATTAGTCCATAAACATCTCCAAAAAAATGAAATAAAAAATAGATGGTTTCAAGCAACATCATAAACAGCTACACTTTGGAAAAACATCAGTAGAAAAGTAAAGTAAATACATTATAGAAGTTATACACACCCAACAACATATCTTGACATAAACATGAACTTTGTTTTTAAACTCTTTGCACAAAGTTTATAAAAGGTTCTTAAGAGAAGTAGCGCAAACCCAGCTCTCTACACTGATAAGTATGTGGTTAAATAAGGGATTAATTGCATTAATTTTAATCGCTATACATAAAAATAAAGCTAGTAAGTTGTATAAACCATAAGCTCTTTGGGGGAAAAGAACTGTTTTCTTATGTGTATGCAATGCCTAACACAAAGGGACACTGCTCTTTGATAGGGGCCTGTTTAGGCACTACTGCAATGTCAATAAATATGCCTGTTTCTAGTCACAGCCCTGCCAATACACCTCAGTCCTGATCTGCAACACCTGGTCTACTCATACCTGGGCTTCTCTTTTACAAGAACACATTGCAAGGTTCTGGGTGTTGAATAAAACTCTACTAGAACTTCAGGTAAGATCAACCAATTCACTTTCCCACTGATGACCTGCAGTAGAACGTGAATTATGTCCTGAAATAGAAGACTAATGTATCAGTCATCTGTACCACCTAATCAAGCCAGCAGCTTGGTGTAAAATACATGATAATGCAGTAGCAGTGCCATAATAACTCGATTTACATTTAGTGTTTTACACAATAAAGCACATTCTTAACACACAGATTACTTTTAGTGATGACGCATCTCTGAAAAGAACAGTTTGTTTCCTCATAGTAAAACCAAACTGGTTAGAAACAGGGATGACAACTCCATTGTGATCATTTGACTTATCAGATCTTGTTCTTCTGGAAGCATAAAACATGAACCCACCACAAAGTATCCAAAATTTTGATTGTTCATCATGAATTATTTTGTCAGTGCAAACACGCTTTTGTGAATACATTCACACATGCACTGAAACTATCTGATCATTTAGCACACCTTTATACTCCTACACTGGTGTATTGTGTGTACACTTGTGAGGTAAACTTTTCTCCATAATACACAAAATTCTCCAAATGCTGTCAAACTGCTACTATTTTACTTGAAAAAAAACTGGCCTACATAATAGTTGGTGCAACTTTTTGGAAGGCATTATTAATGGGCACTATTTTAGTCTGTTATGATGAGGAACGACAGATTTGTGGGGGGATTTTAAAGTAAGAATAGAAAACAATTTCTGTACTTGCAAGAATTGAAATCCTTTATCTTAAAGCCTCCACAGGGTTGCTGTCCATTTATACTCAAAGTCAGTAAATTATTTTTCTATAAAATTAGTCTTTCAGAACTGACTTTTTCCCCCGCCCTCCTTTTTTATTCTGTCTTTGATGCCAAACTCTTGATTACTTCTCCACTACAGAGACTTCATATCTGGAGAGCCAACATCTGTAAAAACATTTGTAATGAAAACACTACTAATACAACCCCCCGGAGAAGCAAATGACATGATCTAAGTTTATAACCGCCTTTTTGCAGTTCTGTCTTTAACAATAGCAGAGCTGGTGCTTCCTATCCAAGACTGGACACAGGTCATGATAATTGAAGCACAGTAGTATCAAAATAAATAATTGAGTAAATATGTATCAACTAGTAGATGTAATTCAGTAGCACTTAACAGTTGCAACAGAGAATTTCTACCCTTGATCACTGTGTCATGGGTTTAGAGGATCTCAGTGGACGGAAACAAGAACCTATTAATTCCAGTGAAGGGGAGGGGGTGAATACTTGAAACCTCAAAGTCAGACATAATGTTACCATAATAGAAAAAGTGCAGTTATTGAAAGTAGCTTACAAATTGTCAAATAACTTAATTACAGAAATGAAGTACAATCACTGTAACACCACAAAAAAAGAAATCCACACGAGAAGAAGCTATGCAACTATATTTTAAAAAATCTTGCTCCAAAGCATAATACTGTTGCTTTCTTTTATATAATTCATCTGGCAAATTTATCACTGAATTCCATTGCACTGCAGTTACAAAGTTTTTTAAAAGCCAAGATTTTTCAGATAAGCATTGTAATAATTAGCAAAGAAACATTTGTTCATTTATTTTTACAAGTCTCAAAAACTTTATCAAAACTACACTGTCAGATGTGAGAGTATGAAAACCACTGTTATTACACGTCTACCTTTGTATCTTGAACCAACAGTGCTAAATAGTTATTTCAGGTAACACTTCTAGTAGTGAAGTTGTCTAGTGCCACGAAAGTCAGAATTGTTGATATATAAATATTCAATAATTAATGTGCCTAACGGAGATGAGAAAATGGCTATCAAACTGCTAATCTTATCACATGTAAATAATGAGTTTGCAGATGCTATCATGTTTTGAGGTACCAATTATTCACTACATTAAAAACTGAATTTGAACAAATACAGGCCCAGATTCTGCAACTGATTCCGTATAAAAATCTGCCCTTGCAGAGTCAATTGCAGGGTTAGAGCCATGGTCATCTAGCAGATTAAGGCAAACTGAATCAATCTCCAACAGACTAAAAAACAAGAATACAATAAACAATCCTCTGGAGATCCACGACTCCTTGCAACCGTTACCCAAATTATGGGTCATGACCCCAGCATGAGAGGTAGGGGGACAGAGTTGTGAAAGGGTACCCAAAGAACTGTATGTTGGGAAAAAATTAGCAAATGTAAGAAAGCATTTGCTAAGTGAAAAGAAAGATAAACCCCTACTGTGGCATACTGCAACCAACTGTAAGATGGCACCCATGCATGTATAGGTGCAGCACAGTTATCAACATGTGAGTCACATGGGTGCTGGGAACACTGCCAGAGTGGCACCTGGGCTGTCAATCTGCCAACATGGCAGCTGAAGCTATACTTCTCCTAATTTCAGAGGGCTTGCCAAGTTAGTCTGTAACTGGAAAATCTTAAACACACCATGAATGGTCTAGCAGCACCTTAAAGACTAACAAAACATGTAGATGATATCATGAGCTTTTGTGGGCACAACCCACTTCTTCAGATGAATGGAGTTCCTAAAGGTCCAGTTCTTAAAAAAAAAAAAAAAAATAGGTGATGGGGAGGATGAGAGGAGAGGACAAGAGAAGGAAAAAGAAAGGGGGGGGGGGAGTCAATTAGAGTGTCCATGCTACATAAAGCTGATAAAGAAGGTGCAAATTGTTCTTAAGTATCCATTATTTGGTTTTTTGTGTCATTAGGATATGGAATATAATGGGTCATCCAGCCAATGTCTCTAGTCATACCTTTGTGATAGGAATCAAACCTGTAAATGATGTTAAGTTCTAAGGCTTCCCTGTGTAGTTGGCTTGTGGAATTGGCCTGAAACAATATGGTGACTTTGAGATCCATTAATGAGTGTCCAAGAAGGTTAAAATGTTACCCAACAGGTTTGGGTATGTTGCCTTTTAAGATATCTGATTTGTGTCTATTGATTCTTTCCCATAGAGACTGTCCAGTCTGGCCAATACACATTGCAGAGGGGCTTTGCTGGCATAGATCACATTAGTGGATGTGGTTTCACTGGATTGCTACTGTGCAGAAACAAGATTGGCTCTTGAGTTAATTCAATGCACATCTATAGAAAAATATACTTATTACCAATAAGCAGCTATTTTAGATTGAAAAGCCTTTGGACAAGTTGTTTAAAAAAAGTACAACTATTCTGTATATAAACAGACTAAAATTCCGTCCACATCCTTTTCTATCCTGGTCAAAATACAGATTTTTTGTCAATAGGTACAAACAAATTGACAATACAATTTTTTGTCAATAGGTACAAAAAATTGTCAATAGGTACAAACAAAAATATATAAAAAAATCTTTTCTAGAGGGTCACAGAATATATATTTCCTATTCTTACAATGTTGTTTTTAAAGTTAAATTGACCTGAACATCTAGGTAACATGCCTAGAAACAGGTTTAAAATGTCATCATCTAGTGAATTAATAAAAATATTTTAATTAATTAAAATGAAAAATGTTCATGTTGATGAATGCCAAAAAAGCCTTTCAGTATCTCCACCTTTTTTCTTATTGTAAAAGATATGTAAAAGTAGCCAATGTATTAGAAACACATAAAACTTGCGATGTTTTCATGGATTGAATATATTGATTATTGCAAGCACTTAAAACTAAGACAAGATTTTTGTAACAATAAATTGAAGCAAAAATATTTTCCTAAATACACAAATTTGAAAATAAAAATCAAACTCAGCCTCTGTAAAATGTGAAGTTGTTTGAATTCAGATTTTTATTTCTTAAATAGCAAAAACATGGAAATCACAACATTTAAAATATTATCAGATTAAAGGTGAAAATGTTTACATTGACCTAAACCAAAGTAAATGGAACTTCAATATTTTAAAATAGTTACCTTTTATTAGTCTAAGGCCCCCTCTAGTGTTGGGAAAAAAAATAATCCCAGCAAACAAACTTTTTGAGAAAGAGGACTCAAAGAACTCTGAACAGAGCCTCCATTCAAGATTATAAAAACATCCCACATTTATTTGACATTTGCATATAATCATACATCAGTGATATAGAATATGTAGCCATAATTAAGTATCTACAATTCTCCATACGTTTATAATGAACGCTCAGGTAACCATTATTCCGACTGCCAGTGGAAGTTTATTGCTTTTTTAAAAATCTAGCATCTTTAAACCCATTACAATAAACATTTTTTAAAAACTGACAATTTTACTAAGTATTACACCTTGTTGTTATGAAGCCTGAATATTGAAAAATGACCATTTCTAATGGAAAGTTTTATGGTCCTTTTCCTGCAAAGTAAGTGACCTAAAGTTTGTTTTCTTCTGAAAAAGTGACCTAAACAAACCTTTCATTAAATAAATTATTGACCTGTGGTAGAATAAAGAAATACTGCCATCTTTATCAACAATGCATCAAAACCAATACAAAGTCAGTATACCATGAAAATGAAGTTCTAAAACAAGAGTATGGCACTTATATGGCTATAGAGCCATAAAAGTCCAGTGATGATTTTAAATAAAAACGTAAGTATCCTCATCAACTGTATTCATTCATATTTTAAGTGAAGCTGAATTGCTGAGGTTTGTTTCCAGAACTATGAATTTGCATCAGTAACTAACATTTGTGACATCAGGAGATATATAAAACCCCAAACACTCACTGATGGGAGAAGACAGTAAGTGTAAGCTTTCAACTCTGCTCTCACTACAAATTTAACTATGCTAAAACAGATTAAAGGTCTTATAATGTAGGCAGGCCTGCCCTGCCGATGGAAGGGAGGAGAGGGCGAAGGGAGAGGAAAGGGCAAAAGGAGCAGTTGCCTTGAGGCCTGTCAATTCAAAAGGGCCTGGTGTTCCCGGATGCTGTCATTGCTACTAAGGCAGCCAGAGCCCTGGGCTCTTTAAAATGGCCACTGGAGCACCTGTTGGCATGCTGTGGATAGTACTAAAGGGCTGGCAGAAGGAGGCTAGACTGCTTCTTCTGGAAGCACGGACCCACCCCATCTTTCCCAGGGGCCCAGCAATTCTGTCAGCCCCCCTGAATGCCGACTGACCCTTATTCAACAGTGGCAGTCACAAAAAAAACCAACAAAAAAACAAAAACAAAACAAAACAAAAACTACAACAACAACAACAAAAACCCACAACATCCTTCTATTCTTTGTGCTCTTCTTTTATGGCAATTATTTAGCTTCTTTATATCTCAGTTTCATGCCCAAAAAGTAAGTTTTCTGCTAAAAGAATGGTCAGCTATACATTTATGGTTAAACTATTTTAACTGCAGTCACAAAGTTTAAAACTAAAATAAATTAAACATTTGCCAATGTAACAGGACAACTGAAGAAATGCAACACCTGTTTTGGCTAAGAAGTTACCAAACTCATCACTGGGAATGACTGCAGTCTCTTTTTACTAATACAATTTTAATGAAAACCCATTTAAAAAGAAATCCACAAAACAAGTTATGAAAAATACCGAAGGGAAGCTTAGAACAGATATATTTTTTAAAAATGCTATTATAAATAAATCCAGCCAGGGTCATGGGGAGAGATAGAAAATAGTTAAACAGAACATTCAAAAAATATTTAAGTATATTTACATATAAATATATTTTAACAAAAATTCGTTAATAAAAAATAAAAACGTATGCTCTGATCCTGCAGAAGCTTACACACGTATTTAACATCATGTGCTTGGATCAAGGCCTTAGTTTGTAAACATAATCATTCTGTTATTCTAAAACTAAGGATATTTGACAACTTAAATATTTTTTCCAATCATACTGTACTATTTACTGCTGCTTCTTTTTGAAAGAGCCTCTCTGATTTGGCGATCCAATTCATTTACTATATGGTCTTCATGATTATACACACCTGTTCTCAACAAGGTATCTCTCTCTTCTATCAAGCGAGTGAGATAATCATCCAAGCTTTCATTTAATTGCCTACTATGAAGACTACCCATTTGCTCAACTGAAATATCTCTGGAATCTTGTGATTGTTTTTTGTCTTCATGTTGCTTTAGCCTGAGAATAAAAAAAGTATATCATTCAGGTAAAGGACACACAGAAAATCTGTCTTGTTAAATATGTTTTAGATGGATTTTTATTGAGATTACTTCTGAAGTAATGGAAGTCAAGGAATTTTTTTTTTTTAATTAAAACAAACTAACCCTTGCTCGGGTAAATTTAAAGGAATCCTTTTAAATCCAAGAATACCTTAGATCAGGGCTACTTAACTTTGGAAGCCCTGAGGGCCACAATGATACTCACAGTACATGCTGAGAGCCGCAACTCAAGTGTGATTGCATATATATGCAAATATATGCAAACAGCTCTTCACGCTGATGGCATGAATACAAAGATTAAGGCAAGACTACACAACACACAGGCCCTATTTAAGTCAGTTCTGCTGATACTAATAAAATGCAATATTCACCCGATTTCCCCCCTTATGACAGCACTTTTAATGAGCAATGACAGTCCAGGAATTTAATTACTAAAACGCATATCAACAGAAGGCCATTATATTGACTACATTTTTTATCTGGCTCTCACCTATGGGCCATTTGTTGAGCCCCGCATAAACCCAAACCACACTCTGGGCCTTAGACAGGCTGCAAGCCGCCTGCTGGCTACGTATTAAGTAGCCCTGCCTTAGATCGTTTGTGTACCATGATTTCATCAAGATTTCTACTTATATAATGCTATTTAAAAACTCACATAAGTGGCCAAGATCAGATTTTAAAATTACTGGAAACACAATAATAGATGGAGAACACATTAGATATACTTAAAATATAAATATGTGGGCCAAGAGGAGAATTGAAAATCTCCATTAGGGTAGCTTTTTCCGACAGTTCTGCTTAGAACTGAAGGTTTAAAAAAAAAAAAAAAAAAAAAAAGGCTTGTTGTAGTATAAGCACAATCATGACAAAAACTGGGTATAGTGGCCTTTGGCATAGATTTTCTATAATACAAGACTGTTATATTTTATAAATGAACAATTTTTACCCAAGGGACACTAAACCATGTTCTTTTATTGGATTGACAGCCAATTAAAAATTTGATTTAACTGAACCTTCCCCTATTATAAGGCAAGGGGGAAAAAAATCCTACAACTGCTGTAATACCTGTTCAGTTCATTTCTAATATCCTCCAGCTCTTTTCGCTCAGTTTTCCCCACTTCTTTCTCCTCTGCTGCCAAATAGCGTAGTCTCATGTGCTCCAGCTCTTGTTGCTGCTTTTTAAGGCGGGCCATTGCATTCTCTTGTTCACGCTAAGGGAAAAAAATAGTTTGACATTAAATATTACTCATAAAAAGTGCTAACTGTAATTAGTGTTTCAGAACCCACAAGTAATAATATAGATACAGCATACAGACATAGAAAATAAGTAGCAAAATCAATACACTAAATACTTTTATATAGATTAGATTAATTCTGATGTTAGGCACAAATGAAGCAAAAAAGACTGAGGCAGAAGTTTGCATCAATCAAAATCACAATAAACATTTTTTGAGAACCAAATGAAACCAACTCTAAGGCCAAAAATACCAGCTCAGTCAGCAGTAGACTATCAAATGGGTATATTTTAGAACTGATGCGCATGGATCTTCAGTTTTTAATTAAAAACAAACACATACTGCAGTCTTGAATACTGCTCAAGTAAATACGTGACAGAGGGGCTATATAAATACCTAGATAGATAATTATAAACACTAACATTCAATATTGTGAAAAATAACATTTGAAAATTGTAAGGAACAGTACGTGACTCTCTCCGTCCTACTAAACCTGCAGAGCATAGCACCACAAAGTTTTGTTCAGCAAAGGTAATTTTATCCTAAGAAAAGAACTTCTTTCTAAACTGGTATCCTGTCTTAGGGCATGTCTACACAGACATTTAATTCACTGCAACCTGGGATGTGAATCTACTGTGAATAGCCTGCCATATGCTATTGTCAGTGTGGATCCTGCTGATCTGCATTAAGAGTGTTCTTTAAACTACTTCTATTTAAGCGCTGGATAGATAAAACTGTTCTAAAGAACCGTATAGTTCCAGGTCCGAAGGTTAGTGTGGGGTAAATTCACATGCCAGTTTGTGGCACATTAAATGTTCATGTAGACAAGTTATTCAAGCCTGGCTTGAAACACTAAAATAGATTCAGATTTCTTCTTATATTTATTCTATTTTCAAACTGAGTAAAAGTCCAAAGGAGGAAGAAATAAAAACATTGACTTGTTTTAGTTTTTTTTGTAAATAAATTTGGCTTGGTTAGTAACTGGGTTTTTCAAAGTTCATAATTGCTAAAATATAATTACATGCCCAGCATCGAACATGACATTTTATAGCAAAACCAGGGACAAAACCTAGTTCTTCTTGTTGATATTAAATTGCATTAACCACAAGAACTATCTTTTTCCCCCCCTGTCATTTTCTGACTAATGAGCTATAGAATATTGCTTAATTTACTGTGCACTGAAAGGAGCGGGAATCCTGCACGAAACAGCATATTATCATGTCATTAGATACTAGATGTCATAGTACAGGTGTCAGCAACCTTTTTGAAGTGGCGTGCCAAGATTCAACCCTCCTGCCCTGGGTCGTGCCACTCTCCTGGGGGGGGGAGGGGGAGAGGAGAGAGGAGATGGGGAGAGCTCTTTCCAGCGTGTGGCCCATGGACCAATGCAAACCTTTCTATGGACTACCTGTTGCTAATGGAAACTCACCATTAACTACATAATTATGCCTGAGCCATTTTGCTAGTGCTGCCGTTGGAGAGAACAATTTAATTTAAATTATTAAACAGATTAAGCATTTTTAGCGTTCTCATGTTAGTTTACCAAATTTCATTTTAAATAAAGTAAAATATTATGTCCAACACAAAAAGTTTCAATGTTTTCTTTATTGATGGCAGGGGTGGAGAAACTTTTTGGTTCGGGGGTGAGGGTGGGGGGGTGTCACTGAAACACAGAAAAAAAAATCAGTTGAGAACCACACAAGTGAGAAACAAAAAAACTCCTCCCCAAACCCCCAACCCTCACTGATGTGGCCCCCAACTGAGACACCTCACTCTTCTGGCACTCCAGCTCCCATGTAGTGAGCAGAAGGGACAGGGGGGACTGAAGTTCAGGGTTTCCTAGAGGTGAGATTTACTTTTCTGGGGCCCCAGAGTTAGTGGATTTTTGTGGACCCCCTTAGGGTCTGAGGTGGGAACAAAAATGAGGGGTTCAATGTGTGGGACAGGGCTGTCAGCCCTGGGATAGGGATGGGAGTGCAGGATCTGGCAGGAGGTTGGATGCAGGTCAGGGTGAGGAGGATAGGATCTGGAAGGGAGTTTGGCAGCAGAAGGTATGGGGTGGGGGTAGGAGAGGGAGGTTGGAGGTGGGAGGAGGTTGGGGGAGTAAAGCAGAAAAGGTGAGAATGCAGCCAAATAGCTAGTTGGGGAGGGAGGCAAAGAAGTGGGGAGTAAAGGAAAGTGAAGCTTCTGCAAAGTAAAATTGTATCCCCCTCACATCTTCCCTCTGCTCCAGCCTTGCACCTCTCAGCCCCAGGACTCCTCCCAGCCTAACCCCCTGCATCGACTCTCAGTGCAACCCCTGCTCCACATCCTCCTTCACCCCCTCCTGCCATCATATCCCTGTGCCCACAGCACTCTCACTGGCAGGGAAGCAGCGCTGGGACTTGCAGGCCCCCAGGAGCAGCGCTGGAGCGAGAAGAGGTTATGTGTGTGTGGGGAGGAGGGGCAGAGTCTCTTCCCTGCCTGGACCAGCCCTTTGCCTGCAGGCTGTGGCTCCGGGGCTGGGGTAGGCAGAGCGCTGGGTCCAGCCAGGCCAGATGTAGCAGGGCTTTGGGGAAAGGGTTCTTCGCCCCCACACACAGCCCGCAGGGAACAGCACAGCACAGCCTGGGCCCTGGCACCACATGTGCTGGCCACCCATCCATAGCTCTGCGGAGCAGGCCCAGATCCGCCCTCTCCCAAAGCAGGAGGCAGCCCCAGGGATACACGCGTGCACCTCTCCCACCTTCTCCCCAGCAGGAAGCCGGAGCTGCTTCTCTTCTAGCCTGCAGCTGCGTGGCTGAGGCTCAAGCCACAGCATGGGCTCCCCGCTGTGGGGTGGGGGCTAAGCTCCCAGTCTGCATGCCAGTAAAAATCGGCTTGCATGCCGCTTGTGGCAGGTATACTGGGGGTTGCTTACCTCTGTCAGTGCATCATAACTCTTAATTCTGGCATATCTTAACTTGTGCTTGATTTTGCAACTTAAACATTTTAATTATTTGCAAGCATTTTACTCTTCAATTTTTGACTTCATTAATAAAATCTATTCGTATAATATATATAATTCACCAGTCCTGGCACCACCGGGAATTAAAAAGCAGAAAAGAGATGAATTAGGAAAGGATAGAAACCTGTAGCCTGAAGTGTGTCCAAAAAGGAAAGAAAAGATCAGTAACGATTAGTAAATGAATGAAGCAACTACCACGTTGTAGCCCTGCAAATTTCCTCATGATATGGCTATGTCTTTCTTTCCATGAGTCAGCCCTATAGACTTGCAGACTGAAGCAAAGGACAGTAAGTCTATTTTGCTATCTGGGCTTTGTACTATTAAAGTCAATGGAGCTCACTCTTAAAGTCAATGGAGCATTAGTTAAATTCAGCGGGACCAAGACATCAGTGTCTGGCCTTTTTAAATGTGAAACAGAGCACACAATTTGTAGAAGGGAACAGTACTTAAGAGTACTCAGAATACATATAATAAAGCAAACTTCAGTAGGATAGACTAGGCAAAAAGGAAGAAGAGTAACATCCTAATTGAAGGAAAAAGGCTGAGTTCCCTTGCGATAAAACTTTCATAGTTGTTCACAATCCTATTTTTGTCCAAAAGAACAGTATCAACGGTTCTCCTTAATGGTTAAAGCTCCGAACTCATTTAATGGATAAAATAGTGCAAAGCCGGGATGACCAGATTAAATTTATATCTATGCAAAAGAAACCAAAGGGCCAGACTGATCATCTTGACTGCAGATAAGTTTACAAACAGGAGTAGGATCCAGCACTTCTCCATAATAGCCCCAAAGTTCCTGGTGCTTGCATTAGAACCAGCAAGAAGCTTAACCTTTGTGAAAAGATGCAACAGAGAAAAAGTCAGTTACCAATTAATGCTGTGTTGTTACTCAAAGGAGCAAATAGGGCTGCATACAGAGACAATGTACCTTGGTTGTAATGTTTTGATAGGATTTCAGGAGATTATCCGTAATCTGAACAGAATAAATCCAGATGTTTCAGGCTCTTATTCTTTAGATAGAAAGAGTCTAGGAACACAAGTTCAAGCAGCTGATCTAGTAGTCTTTCAGAGGACTCTCCACAACAGGAAGTTTGAAGAGATTTGACAGACAACTCCTTGAAATCATCCATTACCAAAAAGTGGAATGCCCAACCCATCATTATGTCATCTAATCCCATCTGATTTTCCTGTTGACATTAATGATGATAAAAGAGATAGAGAAGAACCTCCCTTGACCACTGCAATGAGTAGGTTCAACTTGTCAAGCTATCTTTACCCAGTGCGTGAGAACAACAGGACCATATTTGTGATTGTAGAATATAACTGTGCCTACCTCCTATGGGGTTTCCTAGAAGACCAAGATCCTGGAGAGAACCTGTTGGTTTAAACCCTTCTCCTCTGTCTTGAGAACTAGCCCACATATTGAAAGTTCATTTGTATACAGAGAGAGATGACATTATGATGTTTTTCCTTTCACCACAGATCAGAATTCTGAATTGTCTTTGAAGAGAAAAGCTCTAAGTTCCTCTCCTCTTTCAACCTGTATCACAATACAAGCTCCCAGTTGTCATGCTCTCTAAAGGACTATTATGGATTCTGGGGAAAGCCTGAATTTCTATAAGAAACATCCAAATGGTCCTCAGGTCCATTTAACTAACCTCCCTTCTGTACTGATGCTCCTGTCATGTAAAAAGAGCACAGGTGGGTTCCCCAGCTCCTCAAACTTGTTTTTTTCAAGATTCAGAATGTGCGTGATAGTTGGGGGGGATTTCATTTGAAGTAGATTATTGGGAGAAGTCCACCACAAGAGAAAAAAGAAGTTTGAAAAGGCTGGGAGTGAAGCTTGTTCCTGTACAATATTCTTTGCTTCATGATGGTCTATGGTTATACAAAGAAAGCTTAAGTGACCTAGAAAGTGAAAGTACAGGTTGAACCTCCCAAATCTGAGATTCTCTGGTCTAGCAACATCTGTGAGCTGGCAAGGTAACAA